AATGTGGAGTTCAATTTTATGCTTGTGTGTTAGCCAACCCCAACTCATATGGGTTAAGGTGGGTTAGCTTCCTGCACTTATGTGTATTTTGATAATGATGAATGGCTTTAGTGTATTCTAGAGTTCAATTTTGTGTTGGTGTATTAGCCACCCCCATTTCATATGAGTTTAGGCGCCTGCTCTACCTCCACTTATGTGTCTTGTGGGTTTTATGAATGACTAAGCATAATGTGAAGTTTAATACAGTCTTGGGTGCAATGTCTATACTTATCATGCCTGTTTAGGTTTCTTAAGTGGGTAAGGTCATGAAATAAGCATTACACTTTCTAATAAAGGCATACAAAATCTTGTGTTTGACTGATTACAATATATTTTTCAGTCTATCACACACAACACCATATACCCCTTTTCAAAATGTGTAGTGAAGCAAAAAAATTAATGAAATGTTCCAAACGAGGTAAGGAGCCTAACATTTACACAAAAAATCTTCACCTGGAGCCCTGTTCAGTGATGAAGCTGTGAACCATCCTCCTCAACTTCACTAGTGAGCAAGATATTTCCAGTGTCTTATGTAGATGGTCCATACTGTGCTATCCTTAGCTTCAATTCTGCAATTGCATCATCATACACTTTTTTGTCTAAGAAAACTGACCTTGGTAGTTGTTCATGTGCTGCTAGATTGTCTTTCTCGATGCGTGGCAGCTTGTAGTTATCCCCCCTAACCTTCAGTATCTCCCGCTTCACAATTTGGAAGGTCACCCAGAATTTGTACAATTTTTTGAGCACTCAACTCATCGAATGCTTTATGAATAACTTGAACTAATTGAGGCACTGTTTTAAGGGCTGCTCGATCCTTTCGAGACTGGATAGCCCTAAAGAAATCTAAGTCCGGAATGTTAGGGCCTGTTTGGATGGAGTGTTTGGAAATTGGAAGTGTTAGTAATGGAAGTGTTAGTAAGTGTTAGTAAGGCCCAAAAAGGAAGGGAAGTGTAAGTGTTAGACATAATTTTACCTTGTTTGGGAGAGTCAAGTGAATGGAGTGTTAATAATGGAAGTGTTAATAATTTTACCTTGAGCCAAAAGAAACGAGTAAGGAGAAGAGATGAAAAAGGCAAACCATCAGACCTGCGGCAAAGAGATTCGAAGTGAGATGTCGAAGCATTTTATGTTTTTAGGGTAAATAAGAAGGGTAATAATTGTCTAACACCTCAAAACACTCCAAATTGGGGTGTTAAAAAAGTGGACAATTGAGGTGTTGGGAAGGTTATTATTAACACTTCCTAACCTTTACTAACACTTCTTAACACCTCTTAATATCCCCCCCAAACAAGTGTTAGTATCAACACTTACTAACACTTCCATTACTAACACTCCCTAACACTCAATCTAAACAGGCCATTAAGGTCATGGGAATTAGGAGGTTAAATAACTAACTCTATTATGGATTTGTCTGATGTGGCTGCTAATCCAAATTCATCACCAGTCCCATCTATGTGGGGTCTAGCATTATCTTGTTGTACGATGATGTGCTTGTTTGCAAAGTGTGATCACTTATCTTTAATAGTAGGGACAATCTGTTGGATTATCATGTCGTTGACAACTGATTTGGTGATATTGTTAAGTTGCTTAGTCTCTGATGGATAAGTATACCCGGGGGTAGTTTATCCAAGGGGTTATTGCGGGGAGAGAGTAGAGAGAAGTCAGAGCAAAAGTAAGAGAGAGAATATGTATTGCTGAGAATGTATTGAGCGTATTTAGCCTGGATTACAAATGGGGAAAGGGGTGCTATTTATAGTAGCAATAAATGCCAGATAGGGACACGTGTCATCATTCTGGTGGTCGAGGGGTCAGCTCAACGAGGTGGCACTGGCACTCGCATGTGGCCGCATTAAATGCGGTGGTTGGATGTGACGTTTGTACTCAGTACGTTGATCCAGCGCATGTGGGCGGGAGATTCTGTCGAGGAGATGCCTTCGGCCGTAGATGGTTGGCCGAAGGCTCTTCATCCCGGGGGCCTCTAGGTGCCGAGGGCTCTATATACCGAGAGCTATTGTTTTCGCCGCTTTCTCCCAGACACTTTGAGTGCTTAAAAGCAGTTGTACTGTGAGTCCATGAGCCTTCGGCCAGGGGGCCGAAGGCACCCTAGTGTTCGTCGTGGGCTGTTTGGTACTTGGGGTGCTGTGATTTGGGCCTGCTGTGCTTCCTGGGCCTATTGGGCCTTCGCTATAGTAGTGGGAGTCTATGGGTCGGGGGTTCCTGGGCCATATACTCCATCAGTCTCCATGATCCCTGCATCCCTATCCTTTGATTTTTTCTGTGTTGCCTTACTTTCTGCGTAGGGGAACACACATATTTTCCCATAAACATGGTTTGTGTAATGAATCTTTTGCTTTGCAAAACCTATTTGGACCTTTTTCTCGGGTACCCAAATAAAATCTTTGTGGTGTATTTGCCATGAAAAAACATTTTTCATCAATATGAATGACATTTGAGAATTCTTAAAACCCGGGATTATTGGGAATAGAGTATCGTTGAAGCTGTTTTATACATAACTTCATCCTCTTGACTTTATTCCCATCATTCAGTAGGGGTTTAATGACATTTGTATGACTTTTGACCCCACCTGTCTTAACCAATATGTGTGTTGTGTTCTTGGACAATCCCAAGGTCACACTCAGAGACCTCATGGTTGATCATTTGTGTAATAGCCTTTAATGAAGTCATAATCATAGTATATGTTTTCCCTTCCCACTTTACATGCCTTCTGGCTTTGAACATCTATTGACAACCAAGGTTGTATTTGTTTTTTTGTCATGTTCAAGATTCTGCTCAGTGTTCTTGTTGTCACATTGAACTCCACAACAAGTTTGTTGATTAAGCCTGTCTGAACATGAAAACTTGAAGTGGTTGTACATTTCTTATGTCATTTCCAGTTGTTGAATAATCATGTCCTTTTTTGCATTACTCAGATTTGTCCTCCTCTTTCCTTGGTCATCTGCATTTATTTCTTCCGTAGGAAGCTGGTTTGCATTGAATAACATAAGCTGTTGGGTATTTGTAATATTAGATGTTGCAGCTTCTACGTGGAAAGCTATTCCACACATGAGGGAGAGGGATGTTGAGGAGAAATAAAGGCCTCCTGTAGCTTCTAGACAAAAAGCTCGACTATGGATTGTTTTGTAGTGTAGTGTAGTGGTTAAAAAATATTCGGGGGAAAGTAAAAAGTTCCCTCCATTTGGTAATTTTGCTTCAATTCTTGTAATTTTTCCTTCTATATTGGGTAAGGTGTATCGTAGCATAGTCGAAATGTAAGGTAGTGGGACATGATATTACATGCAATCATTTCTTTTTAATTTGTAGTGTAGCACCACCCAAATTACACTCTTTCCCCTATTTTTAAAAACAAGGGCGTTAAGGGCATCTCACTTTAAAAATTTCACTTTCTTAAGAACCGTGAAAAACCAAACCAGACGTTTATTTCAGGATGGAGGGAATATAATAGTATAATACTAGGCCGTCATCCGACTAAGGACCAACGGATAAAAATGAGGTGCAAAAGTAAGATTCTTTTAAATTAGATTAAAATGATATTATAATGAGAAAATCAATAAAAAATGAATTTATTATTAATAGCTTGTCAAAATGTTAATTGATATACACATACACAAAAGCGGGGTTCTAGTCATGAGCATATATTAATAGTGTCATTACAAAGACTCGTGTGTAATTACTCCTAATATTATTATTATAAATGCAATGCTAGGACTCCTTGATGGGTTGATGGGTAAGTCATTGTCTCATAATTATTTTCTCACATGATATCAACAGCCTAAGATTTTCCAACCCTAGCATCCCATATTATGTCGACCGCCGCTGACACCTTCACGGTGCTTGCCCCTGCGGCGCAGCCGACACCCACAGGCCCACCACCGCTTAGCAGCGCGGTCTCTCACCATGCGGCTCAATTTCAGGCGCCCCGTGCGACCGGAGCACCCTTCCTCGTCCGACGTTATTATGTCGCCGCAGCTCTCTACCTCTCGGCTGACCTTGCTGCCGCCTCCATCCTTGGGGTCCTATTGCTTATTCAACATGTCGGAGCCTTTTTCTTGGACACCCAAATCACCAATTCCAGTACTGCAATCCACTGCAGCGGCACTTCCAACTCCTTCCGGTCCAACTTTGACAAATTCTCTGGACCGACGTTCTCCGGACAGCCCTGTCTATCATCGTTTGAGGCTCTTTCCCAGTCACATCAGTCGGGGTCTACGGTAACACTATCTACCTTGTCCACTCAGTTATCGTTTTCTACGCCCAATGTTACAAATATTGTTACAACTCAGTTGGATACGGTTGAAGACTATTTACATGCAAAAATGATGTTTGTACACACTCTTATACACACTTTTGTACACACCTATGTCTGTGAAAGCTTTTTTTTTGTCTGTGAACATCGATTCATAGACAATGTTTTGCACAAACAAAATATTGTCTGTGAATCCGAATCGGATTCACAGACAAAAAAAAGCTTCACAAACATGTTGATTTACATGACGTACACAGTTTGAGTCTTTTTTAGTCTCTCATGGTTCGAGATATATAGGCTAGGCAAGGGGCTTGCGTCACATCCCAATTTTGATTGAAGTATATACTTTTACATGTGTAAATTTATATGAATTGATATAGATAAAATATTCATATTGATTAGTTGTGCTTAATTTGATGATAAGATTGATAATATGTTTTCGTATTATCAGAGTATGAAATGAGGTTTAAGTACTCCCCCCAGTATAATTTATTTTTTTTTAAATGTGGAGAACTGTCAAACGATAAAAATAAGCACGGTCAATCAGAAGGAAAATTTGATTACGAGCTTAATTTCTTTCTTTTTTTGTTATCTTCTTTTGTTTTTTCATGCACAAACAGTTTCGGCAGGAAATGAGAAAAAAGGAAATAAAAATCGAAAAGTCGTCAATTATAGAAACTCATAATTTCAGTCCACACAACAGACTATAAAACTCCCTTTATCTCTCTCCCATTCACTCACTCCCCTCCTCCCATTACCATTCCTGGAGAGGAAGAACAAAGGATTGCGGAGGCAGAGTAGAGGTCAGATCCACTCCGAACGATCTCCTCTGTTTCTAACTTCGCCGCCCCCGTCCTTTCTCGACAATGGCGGAGCTTCCGCTTACCGGCGGGATCACTTTCCGGGGACCGGCGGCGGACATAGCGGCGCAAATAGGGCTGATGTGGGAGCTCATCAAGGTGCCGCTGATAGTGCCTCTGCTGAGGTTATCTGTGTACATTTGTGTGGCGATGACGATAATGCTTTTCTGTGAGAGGCTGTATATGGGGATTGTCATCATTCTGGTGAAAATTTTCGGGAAAAAACCTGATAAAAGGTACAAATGGGAGCCAATGCGTGAAGATTTGGAAAACGGAAATGCTTCCTTTCCGATGGTCCTTATTCAGATCCCCATGTTCAATGAAAGAGAGGTCTGTTTTTTTTACTTTTTTACTTTTATACTTTTGTGTTTTAGGCCCCGTTTGGTCAGTAAAATTTCGAATGACTTTGTTTTGGTAAAAACAGTATATCAGAGCGTATTGCTTGAGGTGTCTCATGAGTATTGTTTGGTTGAAATGACTCGATCTAAATATGATAGTGAAAGTTACTTTACTTATTTAGACTAATAACTAAAATAAACTGAGTTAGCGCCAGTAATCCATTTCCTTCCTTGATTTACTCTAATAATGTTTTGTTTATCTTATTAAGTTATTAGCATACTCTGTATTACATTTTGAATATAATAAGCACAAAATAAGCAGATTGAATTTATTTTAGTTTTAACAAACAAAGCATTCTGAATTTGTTTTTATTACTTTAACAAACATTTCGTTTTCGAAATATCAAATCAAAAAACAGTCTTAATTTCAATTATTTTGTCGAACATACTTTTATTTCACTCTGACTTTGAATATCAATTTTCATGTTTTTAACTATATACGAGTAACTTTTAGTAATTAATACTAATTTAAATATTAGCAGCAAGCATAAAACATGATCGTTGTTCAATTTTAAGCAAACAATTTTGTACGGAGAACAAATTTAAGCATCAACAAAACAATATTTACGAAATTGGCTGTAAATTTCTGAAAGATTCATGATTGTTACACTGTCCTTTTTTGGTAAGGGACATCTCACATCTGCCTAAAATGGATTAATCTGCTGATGAATATTGAGATTAAGTGGAATTGTACAGCCAAGGATAGCTCTGAGGCTTGTTTGGTAAATGTTATGGGAATGATATTGTTGAATCTGTTATTTTTGGAAACTGTCAACGCAGTTAAAAAAAGCAAGTCAAAAGTTACTGAAGTTACGGCAACCAAACGGAGCCTTAATTTCTGCAAGATTCACGATATTCGGGCATTTCGAGAATCCCAAGACTTAATTTTTTTTTTCTTTTGGTCCAGGTATATAAGATCTCCATTGGAGCAGCATGTAATCTTTCTTGGCCGTCGGATCGAATTGTTATTCAAGTTCTTGACGATTCCACTGATATAACCATTAAGGTAAATTTCCTCAATTCTTTAACACACACAAACATTTATAAAAAAAAGGACGACAGTCCATCCCTTAACTCCCCCAATCTCGACCGGGCGGTACGTTGGAAGGATGTAAATTGTACTATAATCCCAATCTGACAGATAGAGAGTGAGACTCTGTCCCTGGTACTTGCAGAGGCCCTATGCATACTAGGACAGTAATCCTTTATCGTAGATGCCGGTATTCGAACCCGGAATCTAACCTTTGTGGCACTTCCTTGCTACCTATTGAGCTACGCCCACCGGTACACAAACATTTATAAACACATCTTTTATGCAATAACTTTTGAAATGCCCAAAACATAAAAATTTCCGATAATGTAATGGAAATTTCAGATCTGGGTTTTACTTTTCTGGGCCTCCTCCCATTCTATGTTTTTGTCTTTAATTTAATATTTAGCATTATTGCGGATTACTATTCACCTACCGAACCCCACGCCCTCCCCTAGTAGGTGTATTCAATTAATGTTTTCTTTGCTTTTTCTTCACCATTTTTTTGTTCATCATTCGCAAAGCCTTTTATTTTTTACATATAACAATGTGGGCCTCTTTTTTATTTGGGCCAAATTGTTTATGAGAATTTAATAAGTACTAGTAGAATTTAATAATTCCCTGTTTAAAAATGCACGTTAGCTTCACTGCCTTCACACTTAATTTGATTGAACTAACTTGTCTATTTAAACTTGTCTATACTACTGAAATAAATGATTTGTCAGAACTTGCTATGCGTATTAAAAATATGGACAAACTTGCCAATGTTATTTATTTCGACAATTGTACTTATAAAGAGCATTTTTTATCAACAGAGACAATTAAATTAATGTTAGATAATAAATGTCATTAATTTTGTTCTTGTTTTTGTCTGGTTAAAGGACATGATTGAAAAAGAGTGCATAAGATGGGCAAGCAAGGGCATCAACATTCGATATCAGATTAGAGAAACCCGAGGTGGTTATAAGGCGGGAGCTCTTAAGGACGGATTAAAACGCGATTACGTTAAGGATTGCGAATATGTCGCCATTTTCGACGCAGATTTCCGGCCGGAACCGGATTTTCTCCAGCGATCCATCCCATTCTTGGTCCACAACCCTCAGATTGCACTGGTCCAAGCTCGCTGGCGGTTTGGTAAGCTTATAATGCACGTTGTACTTTTGGCATTATTGTTAATTCGTAATTCTTTAAGTTCAAATGATAAATCATAATCATCGTCATTATTGGTTCACTTGGTATTAGTATCGTACGGGGCATTGTCGGTGGTCTCAACTTTTGTTTTTTTTGCATGCTTTGTGTTTGTGACAATCTATTATTAGTACGGCGTGACCACTCACCGTTAGTTATATGTTACGGAGTAATTTGCATTACACTAATCCGTATATCACGGAGGATTAGACTCAATCAACAAAGTATTATTAGTCACGTTACTTTATACGGAGGATTTATATTTTTTAGTTGAAAACGACATATTAACTTTAAATTTTTAATTTTGTTGAAAAATTATATTTTTTTGTACTTCCTAATTCAACAAATTCGGCAGGGGTATCCATTTCACCCACCACTTCAATAAATTTATTTATTTGAGCTAGATTCATCATTACCAAATAATTACCAAGATTTGACCAAAATGTCACCAAGTTATTATGATTGTTGCGACTATTAAGAAAACATACATATGGTTTCATTACATGCTAGGTAGCATTTATACTCTTGAACATTTTTAGGAACATTTGAACAAAAAACATCATAAAATTGGAACTAGTATATTGTACTTCGTATACATTTGAACTACACATAAAAAAACATGAATTAAGGATATATATTTGATATCTTGCATATATAATTCACGGGCACATTATTGTAATTTCTCCACCGTTCTTATGTTATTGTATAATTATTGTTGTTGTGAATTTGTTATGGCATTTAAACTTTCCGAGTCCTATTGATACAATCTCCGGCGCAAAACATGAGCTTTCACATGTTTTCAAAGAAACAGACAAAATGTATTCTAATATATTTCGATATTGTCCCTCAAATAGGATCCACATAGTCAAAAGTACTAGGTGTGGATTGGAAATTCTGTTAAAGGTCGTATTTTGACTTCTTGCATACATCTCTAGATAATCTAATTAATTACTCTTCCTTTTAGATATTCCCGGTGAACATATAATAATTAATGTTTTATAAAGAACTCCACAAAATATCTGATTAGAAGGTGGTATTCAAGGATAATGCTTTAAAAATAAAAACGACTATTACGGTTACGCACAGCAGTACTGCTACCATATTCTCCGTCTCACAACACTTGATCAATTTTGAATTGTACGAGAAATAATAAAGTTAAATTTTTGTGATTGAGATTTGAGTAGAGTAGAACAACAACTTTAAACATATGCATTATTTCTTATTATTTCTTATTACAAATGGATATGAATTGTCATTTTTTTTAAAACGGCTAAGAGCCCATTTGGAAACACAAAAATCAGTTGGATTGGTTGATTCTGCTGAAATTTATGAAGTTCTGGCTGAAGTGGTTGTATGAGCTGATTCTGCTGATTTAAGAAAAAATATTTTAACATATATTTTATTAATATACGTAGTAATAAAGAAAAAATTATATGTTAAAATAGCTTAAAAGGTCATCTACAATTTCATCCAATACAGCTAGAAAAATAATTCCAACCTTACATTTTCTTATTACTACACAATTCAGCGCGCGAAAACGAAAATTCTGTGTTTGGTGAAAATGTTAGCCTAATAAACTTGATAATCCAAAAAACAGTGTTACCAATAAGTAACCACTGTCGGTTGCTCCTAATCTTACCGTAGTATTAATTTTACGTAAAATGTCCAAGAATTATAAATTTTGTATAACTATCATATCATATAATTATAATTTTACATAAGTTTCTTGAAATTACTCTCTTAGTAGTTAGTACGGTGTTTGCATTTGTAAGTTCTCCCAAATAATGTTATACGGAGCATACGGAGTATTATTCTTTCCTCACCTGATGATCTTACGGAGTATAGTAGATGTATCCTTTGCAAAGACTTTAAAACACAAGTTTGGAATCATTCAAAAAGAGAAATGGGAAATGGGAATACACAGACTGTAAGCTTCAAGTTGCTTTTGGTTGGTTCTAGGCTTGAAAGTTGAAGCACGATAGAATGGCGGAGGCAGATGGTATATACTCCCTCCGGTTCTTATTAAAGTTCCCACTTTCCTTTTTGGGATGTCCCTTATTTAAATTCACACTTCCATTTTAGGAAACAAAACAGTGTCAAATAGTGTCCCAACAGTGCCAAACAGTGCCAAACAATGCACTCCACAGTAAAGTCAAATTCATTTTCTTAATATGTGTGAAGTCAAACTGAGAACTTAAATAAGAACCGGAGAAAGTATTGGGGTGTACCGGTATAAAATTATTTTTTGGATTTCTTTTACTTAAAAATTTTAAACAAAATTTAAAAATTGAGGTGGGTTGAAGGCAAAGAGCCCCAGCTACCCTACACCATGACACCGAAAGTCATTTAACTAAAACAAGAGTATTGATTACATTAAAATTGAAAAAAGAGCGTTATGACTTGCATATTTGGGGCCAAACATGATAAGTGGCAACACAGTTATAACTTTTACAAATCAACTTATTCAGCCCTTTTTGGTAATTTTATTATTTCCATTTAAAATAATTAATACGATAGTACTGTGTAGATAGTATGTTATTAAAATTATTTCACTTTTCTTTGCACATTTCGATCATCTAGTTTTCATTATTTTATTATTCTATATGTAAGTCAAATTTGATCAAAAGGTAACATTGAAATTGGCTCAATCGGCTTATTCTGCTGGAATTTATAAAATTTTGGCTGAAATGGCAAGATTTGCTTATTCTACTGATTTCTGAAAAAGAATTATTTAAAATATTTTTTATCAATAAAATAAATAAAAAATTATTCTCCGAACAACACATTAAGGAGCTAAGGATGACTTTGTTAAGTGGTAATACACTGCTAATGTGAATGAATGTATATTTGGAGGAAAGATAGCAGTTCAAGGGCAGGCAAAACCTTGAAAATTCCCGAACGGACAAAAAAGCTTGAAAATTAACCTAAAAATGAGTTACAGTGAGCTTGGGAAGTTTTTATGCCATATATAGGAAGGTTAAACTAATGATTACAAAATCCAAAAATCAACATCTGACACAAAATATTGAAAACTAATATAAAAATGAGTTAGCAATAATTCATTCACTAATAAATTAAACCTGATCTCTGGTAAATTATGCAAAAAAGGATCATAAAATAATCTTCTTAAGACACCACTTAATACGAATTAACTGCTAAAACATATAGGAATTTCAATCGATACTATAAGATAAGTAACTTCAACTTTATTTTTTCTTATTATAATAAATAAAATTGAAATGTGTAATAATAAATTGAAAAAGTCAATTGAAAAAGTAAGTTCAACTTTACTTTTCTTCGTTACATTTATCATTTTGTAAAGAAAAGATCGAATTAATCGAGGTTTTGTTACAACTTAGGGAGTACAACTTTATAGCGAAAGGGGTAGTTTCGTCACTTCATGACGTCTCCACGTGATATTGTTCTCTCCTCACGGGCACACATGCCTTTTGGTAGATCCCTCACTGATTGGCCTTCGTGGACCCCATCTCTCTTTCCACTCTGTTTTTATGTACACCGACACTAAAGATTCTTACGGTGCTGGACCGGCGGCGGTAAAAAAGAAAAAAGACAGCGTGGTACGTACGGAGTGAAAATAGACCGCTACTCATCCGACTAAATTTTTAATTGAGTTTATACTCCGTATTTATATTAGTGACCCAATAATAATGAGACCAAAATTACTACCTCCGTCCCATAAAATTCTTCCCACTTGGATTTGGCACGGAGATGAAAGTAAAAATTATCCAAATTATCCAAAAATGGTAAGAAAAATTTGAAATTAATGTGAACCACACAAATTATACAAAAATGGTAAGTGGGAAGATTTTTTTGGGCCGGTCTAAAATAAAGTTCACACTTCTTCTCCCTTCCTTATTTGACAAATTATCTACATAAAAACAACTTCAAAAGTGTCAAACAGTGTCACAACAGTGTACTCTCATGTAAAGTCAACTTTATTTCCTTAATTTGTGTGAAGTCAAACACTGAACTTTATTTAGGATTGGAGGGAGTAGATCATATCAAATCAAACAAATCAGATTAGATTATATTTGGCCTTTTTATATGAATATTACATAGTACTAAATTATACTACGTATACAAAAAACAAAAATGTGACTTGTTTTTAACTTTTCCAAAAAGGTGACTAGTCATATATTTTCATCATAATAACTTATGTTTAATTGTGCACTTAAGTTACATTATACTATATAGGATATTCTCTAAATAGGAGTAACATAGTTTTGAAATTCCAAAACAGGAGTATCTTGTTTTTTTATTTCTTGAATAAGAGTAAATTTCAGCCAAGTTTAGAATTACTAGGCTTTAAACATGACATTTTTTTCCAAACTTGGCAGATTACACCTATTCAGGAAATAAAAAACATGATACTTCTATTTTGAAATTTCAAAACATTTTTGCTCCTATTTAGAGCAATTTCTATATACTACGGAGTATACTATAGTAATTTGTAATCATATTTTTGTAAATGAAGATTATTTTCAGTATTTTTTCAGAATAACCTCATCTTAGAACAATACTACTAAAAATGCATATTATATTTTCAAGACTTTTTGAAATGAGATTAAGTATGTAACATTGAGATGTTTTTAGTTAGATTGAAATTTTCTGGTGTGATCGGCTTCGTTTTATTCCGGTAGATGTCTGTTCTATTCTATGTTATAAACTGTCGAAGTACGCTTGGCTTGTATAGTTTGTTCTAGTTTGGTCTGATTTGATCTGTGTAATTTTGGTCTAGTTTGGTGTGATATGATCTGGGATTGAAACTGATCCAATTAAAACATTTTTAGTACGCCATTGTTAGGATGTTTTCTTTCTGATTGAAATTTGGTGGTTTGGTTTGGTCTGGTATGGTGTAAATTGGTCTGGTCTTGTAGATGTCTGATCTCTGTGTATTTTGTAACTATATAAGTCTGGTCTGGTCTGCTCCAAATTGGTCTGGACTGGTCTGCTCCAGATTGGTCTGGTCCGATCTCTATAAGTCCGATCTCTATAAGTCTGATCTGGTCTGGGACTGAAAACAGTATAAAAGAAAACATCCTACTTGAGTGCCACCACCACCTCACTGACAGTGACTCGGGCAACATCTGCCTTGAGTGCCTTCTAACGGCCAGAGGTTATTACCATAGGTAGGGGCTGGGGTGTACGGTGAGTCAGTCAGTGACAGTTAAGGTGGCGTGCGAGAAGAAAGTTAGGGGTTAAGCTAATTTAGTTCTGCTTTTTTAATTGTTTAGAAAATTTAAAAGCAATCATATGTTTGTCCAATGAAAATGGAAATTACTCCGTATGTTTTTGTCATTCTTTTTTTTTTCAAATGATGTTCAGTACTTGTAGTTACTAAATCATGTTAATTCAATCGTTTTTATTTCTTATAACTTTTCAGTGAATGCCAATGAGTGTTTATTGACAAGAATGCAAGAGATGTCACTGGATTACCATTTTACTGTGGAGCAAGAAGTTGGATCATCTACTCATGCTTTCTTTGGCTTCAATGGTACGTACCTCAAAGTTCATAATTTTATACTACTAGAGCTTTTGCGCATAAATTTATCTACATCCAAGTTCCTTACATAAGAATAAAATTAGAGTTTTGGGTCAATCCTACCTAGCGTTGTGGTGTAGTCAGGGGAAAACATTAGGTAAGGTGTTGTAAAGAATATGTTCGTATAAATGTTTTCACACTTCTTTTACATTTAATATGGAGTATGAGGTTTTATTTTATATCAAATAGAATTCATATCTTATAAGCTTATAAAGTTCAATAGCTTATTAAAACTACGCTTGATTCCAAAGGAGCAACTTTACACAAAACTCTGTTTGTGTGTATTTTTATATTTGGCTGGTGTGGGGATGAACACGCACCTTACCTTGTGGGACCATTTTTTCAGGGACTGGTGGTATATGGAGGATTGCAGCCATAAATGAGGCAGGCGGTTGGAAAGATAGGACCACTGTTGAGGATATGGACTTGGCTGTAAGAGCAAGCCTTAAAGGCTGGAAGTTCCTCTATTTGGGAGACCTCCATGTATTATTTCGTTCCCACAATGTCCTTTGCATCATGTATTGAATGAATAATTCATTGAATTAGTCAAGCTAAACCTTCACATTCCTTTTTGATTCATCATAGGTTAAAAGTGAACTTCCTAGTACATTCAAGGCTTTCCGCTTCCAGCAGCATCGCTGGTCTTGTGGACCTGCAAACTTGTTCAGGAAAATGGTCATGGAAATCGTTAGGAACAAGGTTGGTCGACTTGTGCCGCCTACATATTTTAACATTTATTGTTGTGGTTAAATAAGTCGAACAATTTTAGTACTCTACATGGTTGATAATCTGAATGTAATGTTTTGTGTTTGCAGAGAGTGAATGTGTGGAAGAAATTCTATGTGATCTACAGCTTCTTCTTCGTTCGGAAAATCATAGCTCACATGGTCACGTTTTTCTTCTTCTGTGTTGTTCTTCCATTGACCATTCTTGTACCTGAAGTTGAAATACCAAAGTGGGCTGCCATTTACATTCCTTGTATCATCACAACTCTCAACTCCGTTGGCACCCCGAGGTACACACGATGGGTTAAGATATTAGGAAATTTCCAATTATGGTGTTTAGTCATCTCATAAAATCCAAATAGAAAGATACACATATAGATTTGAATTACTCCAAATAAATATGCACATCCATATAAAGAGTATTTATGTCCATGGTTGTGTTAGGATTGAATATGAATCTTTTTGCAGGTCTATCCATTTGCTGTTTTACTGGATTCTATTTGAGAATGTGATGGCGTTCCATCGAACCAAAGCTACATTCATTGGGCTGCTTGAAGCAAAGAGGGCTAATGAGTGGGTAGTCACTGAAAAATTGGGAGACACTCTCAAGAGCAAATCAAATGCCAAATCTGCAACAACCAAGAAGACTAAATCTCTGCTTGGAGATAGGTGAGAATAAGACTCTGCTTCTTTATTTGTTCACTTTTGAAATCCTACTCTTTTGACTTACTAATCATTAATTGGTAATGGTTTAGGATTCTGCCACACGAGTTGGGATTTGCAGTTTTCCTTTTCATCTGTGGGTGCTATGATTTCATGTACGGAAAGAACCAATACTTCATATACCTATTCCTCCAAGTCATCACCTTTACTATTGCTGGATTTGGCTACATTGGCACCATAGTTCCCTCTTAAAGTGCTATTTACAAACACAATCTTCAAATGTGCCCTACACGAAAATGTAACTATTTGCAGTACAATCTCATGCAACCATTTGATTCAGATAGATACGAAAAGCATGACATTTTCGCGAGGCAGAATATCCAGGGGAAGATTACTTTGCGCTTCTTATGAGTTTTATACTTGGCAAAAATTGGTAGTGGAAATTTGGATGATTATATTATAGGGTTCTAGTTTTGTGACACTGATATAAATTGATTGTTCTTTTTAGTGTTTTAAGCTTGTCAAGTGGGGGAGGGGAAATAAGGATGATGGCAAGAGGTGCAAACTTGTAATCAGGCTGGCTTTCTTGTCATTCTAGCTTTTGAATGCTTTTGTTTTGTATTCGTTGATGATATGATGTACCAATACTTTATACTATACCTTATGGAGTTAGAAGAAAAGTTTGTGAAGTTTATCTGCAATGAAGCCTCTATTTATCCACGTATGGTTGATTGATTCTGTTATTCAGGGTTACTATTAGGCATGGACTGGTTCCGGTTCAGGCCTGGTTCGGGCCTGGGCCCGGCTGGGCCTCGGTTCAAGAAGGGGAGGCCTGGAACCGGCCCGGGTAACCCCCGGGTCCGGGCCGGGCCTCGGTTATATTTTTTTTGGCTTTTCCTAGTTAACCCCCAACCCTCCCCCTCACCCCCAAACCAACCCTAACCACCTCAAATGGCCCAAAATACCTAGCCCAACCCAAAAACTTAAAAAAAATTCAAAAAAATAAAAAAATTGGCCCGGCCCGGGCCTGAACCGACCGGGCCAGTTCACTTTTTGAAGGACCTGAGCCCGAACCGCCATCCCACTGGATCGGTTGGCCTGAACCGGGCTCGGAACTGGTTCACCGGGCCGGGCCGGGCCGGTTCGGTTTCAGGCCGATTGGCCCGGCCCGAGTCCACCCCTAGTTACTATTTTGCCAGTTTGTACCCATTGTGTGTTGCTAATTTATTTGGAGTTATCCCATTTCTGCCTAATAGTCTAAACACTAATTGATTAGTCCATATATAATGGCATGGCTTGAGAATAACAAGCATAAAATGAAATCTTAGCTATTACCACTGCTAATTAATTGAATTACTATGTTTTTTCCAAACAAATAACCTATAATTTGCCACACGCAAGTTGAGATGAAGCAATGAGGCACATAATTGACATAAAGGAAGAGAGGAAGTGCATAGGAACTAGGAAGCAATATTTTGCTTTATGGTTTCGTTGTAAGATTGTTTAATGACTGAGTATGTATGTGGCAAATGTGTATGTTCGATAAGTAATGCACAATATGCAATTTCTTTCTTTCTTTTATTTTATTATTGGACCCCATAAATGCAGATATAATTATGCTCAGAATGTTAGAAAAATGTATGTATGGGCCTCTTGTAAAGGGGCGTAGCCAAGAGTAGAAGTTGGGCTGGGTCGATATAAATAATTTTTACAAATACATTTTTACACATAAATTTTTACATTAAAAATATAGGCAATATTTAAAATTTTGATTGGTCCGGGTCCGGTTGGCCACCCCTCCACCTCCGCCCCTGCTCTTGTGGAATGTTTTTTATGTAAGGCATTGCTTCAAGATACCAATAGCTCTTGTATAACTTTTTAACATCTCCACGTTTATGATAAAGTTATGTTTATACACATATAGTCGCAATATTCACTTCATGAACATGAAAACAATGTATTCAATCAAGTTTTCCTACATTCCAGGAAGAGTCAATATTATCCGCTCTACATATTGTACGTATTTGCATAATTGCATAGGAGATTAGTTGTGACTTGCGAGTGATGCATGTTGCTGCTCTTGAATACATGAACAGGGGCGGATCCACTCAGTTGCTATAGGGTGCAGCTGCCCCCAATAAAGTATCAATAATCAATCAAAATATACTAGGAACTTTTTTAGTTCACATAATTGCCCCTAATAAAAAAATTCAATGCGTCCACATTCCTGCTCACCCAACTCCACTCGCCGGAATAAAATAACCCAATGCAGCAACGGTGCCCAAATGCTAAAATAATACTCTTGGCCGCCCCCCGCCACCCACATGGGTTGAAAAATCAAACATTGGACTGAATCTATTGAGGAGCCTTTGATACGTGACCAATCCACACATACCAGTCTACCAACCAAAATAATGGTGGGTGTCTCTTGGCTACCCCCGCCACCCACATGGGTTGCTCTAAGTTCTGACGGGTGAGTTATTCCTGAGATCGGATGAGCAGCTGCAGTAGGGTTGTTTCGTGATTCTGATGGTCGATGCTTAGCAGCGTACTCGATGAACTTGGGCTTTTGCATGCTCGATAACTAGAGCTGAACTGAGAGCTTCTGTGGAAGGATTACATACTGCTTGGGAGTTTGGATACCGCCAGGTACGAGTGCAGTTGGACTCATAAGTAGTTATTCAACTTTTGATGGCAGAAGATGAGCACACACACCTGCATTCTTCTGAGGTCGCACAGTTTCGCGAGCTTTTAAATCATCCCATACCAGACCAGACCAAAACAGACCAGACCAGACCAGACTAAACAGACAAGACCAGACCAGACCAGACCAGACCATACCATATATTATTATTATTATTATTATTACTATTATTACTATTATTACTATTATTACTATTATTATTATCATCATCATGATCATCATCATGATCATCATCGTGATCAATCATCATGATCATCATCGTGATCAATCATCATGATCATCATCGTGATCATCATCATGATCATGATCATGATCATCATCATGATCATGATCATCATCATCATCATGATCATGATCATCATCATCATCATCATCATGATCATCATCATCATCATCATAATCATCATCATCATCATCATCATCATAATCATTATCATTATCATCATCATCATCATTATCATTATCATCATCATTATCATTATCATTATCATCATCATTATCATTATCATCATCATTATCATTATCGTCATCATCATCATTATCATCATCATTATCATTATCATTATTATTATCATTATCATTATTATTATCATTATCATCATCATCATCATCATCATCATCATCATCATCATCATCATCATCATCATCATCATTATTATTATTATTAGGGGTGTGCACCGGTTCAAAACCGGACCGGACCGGACCGGATATCATTCCGGTTCGATCCGGTTCCGGTTTTTCCGGTCCGGTTCGGTCCGGTTTTCTGGTTTAAACCGGATAGTGCACACCCCTAATTATTATTATTATTATTTTATTATTGTTATTGTTATTATTATTTGTAATTATAAATGAATATAATATAATTATTTATGGATTATAATATATATAAAAAATAAAATCTTTATGCAAAAAATTTAAAAAATAAAATTTCAGACCAGATCAGACCAGACCAGACCAAAACAGACCAGACCGGACCAGACTAAAACAGACCAGACCTGACCAGACCAGACCAGACCAGCAAATTACAGTCCAAGTAAAAACATCCATTGTTACATACTCCCTCCGTTCCCAAAAATTCTTCCCACCTTCCATTTTAGGTTGTTCCCAAAAATACTTCCCACTTACTAAATAAGGAAACTTCCTACTACTAAAAACCTATCTTACCCCTTAAAATATTTACCCTCCTCACTTTTCTCTTTCCCACTTACACTCTACCCCACTTTTCTCGTTCCATTTTCTCTCTCGCATTATCTCACCCCTTCTCTCCTTGTCTCTCACAGTTGCGATGCACCGTCTCCCCTGATCCTCTCATCCCTCTGTGTCCGATGCATCGCCTCCCCTCCTTCTCTGAACCAAAATCCACAACAACCCTAGCTTATTTTGTTGATCTAATCGTCTGTTCTTGATTCAAATCCGTAAACCTAACATTCGACCTCCATGGATCTAGAATCAAGCTTTGAAACCCTATGTGAAGATCAAGGTCCATACTATGCTTGAATGGGCGTCCTGATGGTGCTGGATAGTGAAGTCGAGCCAGATGATGACCTCGATGTGGACCACGGTAAAACTTCGGTGGACCTGTGACACTCCGAAAATTTAAATAATATAAAATAGATAATTACGTTAACTTGATAAATTTTAACATAACACAAAAGTGACATTTTTTTCATCACATAAAACTTTGACATAAATATGAAGAGTAGCATTTTTATGATAAAAGTAACGTTTGAGCAATTTCTAAACGGGTGTCGATGAATATTACTCGTATGTTACAATTGAATTTAAATTAAAGTATTATTATATGTAGCATTAGGCAGAGGCTAACTTTTCAAGCCCACTACACACGTGATAATGTTTTTATTTTTGTTAATCTTACGTACACCTACTATGTGAATATATATACTTAACATACATACCAACATGATATTCTCCACTCACATCCATATAACATAACATACATACATGACACAACGTATATAGCATACTAAAATCTGCGTGCATACATAAGGAAAGTAGGAAACCGAGCATATATATACATTGACCGAGGGAGGGAGTACATTTTTTCAACAACTACGCGTCTACGCCCTAACCCTACCGGCGGAAAACGAACCGGCGCAAACTTCAGCGCAAACCGAGCATATATATGCTAGACCTGCACGGCTGCACCTTCTTGTTTTGCGCTGAACTGCCGAAGAAGACGACGAACATGTCTTCTTCTATTACTCCGTAGTCCGTCGTACTACTCTGTATGTCATTATTCACTATTGGGCCGAAACTCTTTTATTTTAAAATGTGGGCTGACTATAGTTTTAGCTTGGGCTGGCCGAATGAATAAGGCAATGGACTGGTTAACTTATAAAGTGATTTAATTCAATTGGCTGGACTGAATTTTAAAAGTCATAATAATAATAATAATAATATCAAACGGAGAAAGGGAAATTATAAGTGAAGGGTAGAGGAATTTAACCATAAGTTGATATTGATATTAGAATTTTAATATTCTTAGAGGTGATATTCGTGAAGAGCAAAGTAGAAGAATTGCCTAGAGTACTTGGAGTTTGAGGTAAGTTTAATACCAACCAAAATTATACTTTTCCTCGTAAATCATTTTTGAAATTATTTGAGTACTTTATGAGATTTCTAGTATTTACATTTGAGTATTTGGAATTTCTTATGAATTGTTATCGAGAATTATATTTGAGATTTGAGTATTGGATATTGGATGATATTTTTGAGTATTTGAGATATCTTATGCATTGTTATTGGGATTATATTTATGAAGTATTTGATTCTTTTGTGAAATTTTATTGTATGGTGAATTCGAGTGTAGTTTGTTGGAGTTTATATTTTACATTGTGGATGATTTTGTGGAGTTTGGATTTCATATCCATTTTGATTGAGATTGAATTGTGATTTTGTGAGCACCCGAAGAAATCCGTGGTGTCGGTTTGCCACATCCGGATAAATGTAGAATATTTGGTGAGTGGTAATGGCTATAAGTCTAAATCCACCAAAGGTACTTCCCAAAAGCGGAGTATCCTAG